GTCTGCATCAAACTATTATTCTGTGGGCTTTTTTTAGCTTTTGAAAAAAGCCCAAAGTTACTTGCCAACAGCTGCAACTCTCACCCGCCTAAATCTTTCTTTACCGACCTGCACAGCTGCAGACTTCCTGTGGTGGCGGCAGGTCGACAGAGGCCGACTGTTACCTTTGAGTTGGCTTCATGTTCAGAAACACCTGATAGTCCAGCTCTAGCTCCCCAAAGAAAGATGCTTTATCCTCTAACATTACTTATTTATTTCTCATTTATATGTAAAATGAAAAACAAGTTAAAAGATAATAGAGACTATAATTATTAATTTTTTGAACATAATCTATCAAAATCAGAGAGCTGTGTTCAGGCTTTTCTTTGTGATGTCTCTAAACCTTCTATATTAACAGGATCCTTTACGATAAAACAATTATCCAACATAAAATAATAAATGATGTTTAAAGTCTGTTGCAGTGCCACTTTTCATGTATATGAATTAGGGGATCGGGCTCCCTACAGAACGTTTTCTACACCAGATTCATGCATTTTTTTTAAACATTTTAATGACCTGTGGCCCCCGCCTCCCCCGTTCTGTGCCACCCTACTGTAAAATTCCTGGATACACCCCTGCTTAAAATGGACGGTGGTTAACCTCTTACTGACCTCTCATCTCTGCAGGTTTCTAACAAATCCTTTTTAATGTCCATCACAAATGCAACTTCAGGTCATTTCAGGGAAATAAAGCTGACGGTAGTTTTTAGCCAGGACGTATCCCAAACACTCAGGCAGATCTTACTGACCCTGTATTATTTTATATCAGAGAGTAAGATTAGAAAAAGAAAAAGAAAAGGAAACTCCTCCCGTGCGTCAATCCTGCTGTTCAGTTTGATTCACTGATTTTATTTTATTGCTTTTAATTGTTATCACTAAAAAACGCATTATGAAGCAAGGCTGAAGTTATTTAACAATCATTTCTTTAGAGCTGATAAGATGTTTTGTGGCATGTAAGAGCTGCAGAAACCTCGGTGCCTGAGCAAAATTCACACTTCCCACTTCAAAGTGGGAACTATCTTGTCGGCTCTTGTTTTCTCCGCCCAGGGACAAGCGGAGGACAAAGGCCGAGCTCAGCCTGCCCGGAGTCACGACCAGCGGGGCGCATTTACATTACAAGGCTTCAAACCGGCTTCACACGTTTGATCCGGAGACAGGCCGGGACCGGGAGCCGGTGGGAACGCTTCAGCCGTCCTGACAGCTGCACCAACTCATTCTGCAGGTTCAAACCTCCACGACGAATAAACATCGAGTACCAGTCAGAAGAAGTGAAACATGAAGAAAAGGTTTCAAAAATAGTCTGAATGGGACGAAAGGAAATATTGGGCAATAAATTTAAAATAAAATAAAATAGCGACAGGAAATCAAATTAAGCCGAACTGAGGTGAAGCTGCGTGACATGGTGATATATGGAGCTTTTAATCTGAAAGTCTGAAGGAAACCAAATCATTAAAATAATGAGAGCGGTTTAAAATAAATAAATAAATAAATAAATAGAGCGTCAGTGATGAGGTTCAAATTTAAATTAATTAAATTAAGTTCCAAAGTGACGACGATTACATCCAGATAATAAAATAAACGATCTGTGAAATTATTCAGGAATAAATCTGCACAAGTAAAGGGGGGAAACGGAATTTAAGTAAATATAAAATTTTAGCCTTAAAAAGTCAATTATGCGGATTAATAACGTTTAAATCATTTTTACTGTGAGCATGAGTAAAAGTGTAAAACATGCAGCTTATTTAGAATATCTATGAAAGGAAAATCATCTCGTCATAAGGAACAGAAACCATTATCAGGATCATTGCTGCTGAACTGTAAAGAGTCAAAAGGACGGGCTCGTTTTTCGTTAACCAAACTTCATCTCAGGCCGGTTAATCGATTGTAAGCGTGTTTCGTGCCGGGCTGCCGCTATCTCCAACCTGAGTACACATGTGCAGACATTTGAGTATCACTGCGTCTCATATCAGCCTCATATTAAAATGTCAAACAGACTGTTGGAGCTCGGTTTGCTTCAGGAAAAAAATAAAACCACAAGCAGCTGAAAAGTGACGAGTAAGCGGTTAAAGGCGAAACCATGAGCGGGTTAAAGGTAAAAACTTGTTGGGGTGTTCGTTAGCTTAGGTGAGCTGGAGCAGGTACATCAGCGGCATTAAGAGGGAACAGGTGTGGGGGTCTTACTGGGGTTGCTGGGCGGCGCGGAGGTGCGGATCCACTCGTACGGGGTCCTCCTCCGCGGGGAGCCGGGGGACAGTGGCCCCGCGGAGGCGTTCAGGGAGGCGGGGATCAGCGCAGGCGGCTGGCCGGGGAACTCCGTGGGCCCGAATCCGAGGGTGGTGCCCACCGCACCGGTCACGGAGGAGGCCGCGGAAGGCGCGTAGGGATGCGAGGACCAGTCGTCCCGCGCGGGCGGAGGAGGCGGGTATGCCGGGCTCCAGCCACCGGCCGCCGGCGGGGCTTGCTGGGCCGGGTGTTGCTCGTTGCCGATGCCGTGGTGGTGGTGGTGGTAGGAGGCGAAATCCGGGTACTGCGGGGGGGCGGGCACCGAGAAGTTCTGCGGGCTGAGGCTCAGGCCCGGGTGGCGCGTGACCGGGTTCTGGTGCGGGTACATGGCGGGGTCCTTGTCCAGCTGCAGGTAGCTCACGTACATCTTTCCAGGTGAGGGGACTCCCTCAGCATACTGCGGATCCAGCCTGCCTCTCTCACCTGGTGTGCAGGTAAACTTCAATCTCTGAGTGCGCGCGTGTCTACCTGTCCACACCTCCACCTGCTCGCTCGCGCTCTCTCTCTCTCTGTGCCGTCTCCATCAGCTGCCTGTTAAAAACTGCAGCAGTCACATGTTCACTTTTATTGCTCTTATCTCCCTCCCTCACCTCTCCTCACCACCCTTACACGCTGCCTCGCTTCCTCTCGCGCTCTTCTTCCTCTCTTCACTTCCACCCGCTCCTCCTCTTCCTCCTCACATCATCCTCGTTATTTTAAAACTAGAACCTCTTTCTGAATTAAACCCTGATAAAAACTGAGACCCCACAGCAGGTTTTTCCCACACTCCCCTCCGCCTCCTCCCCTCCCAGGCTCCTCTCTATCGGCCTCCATTTGCATGACAGTCCGCTGGACTTCAAAGGCCTCCATCAAAGGGACGGAGACCATCCGACAAAATGATAGAAAACAGCTAATATGTCCTGAGAGAGACGGCGGACCGAGCCATCCATCATTTTTAATCAGGACACTTTCAACATGATCTTTTCTTCAGACACGTTTATTTAGCGAGCTTGAATTTCTTTTTCAAAAAGCTGAAATTTAAATGGAAGAAATCTTAAAATGTGAACTCGAACTGAGAAAAAAAATCTGATATCAAAGTGTTTATAATTAAAATGCAATTACAATCTAAACACGTTAATCACATATTAAATATCAAATAAACAAACTCATTAAAAGTTTAACAAACAAAAGTAAATCATCAGGCTTTAAACGTTTTTGTAAAAATGATCCATTTCTTGATGAATTCTACATTTAAGGGGAAACTTTTTCTTCATGTGGACAAAATGTATAAAGATCATGAACGAAGCATTTAAATTTTGGATTCCTATTTTGTTTAATCCGGATGAAGAGTGTAAATAAAACATCATCTGTGTTCATCAAAGTATTTAAAGGGTTAAACTATTTATCTTTAATCAGCTGATCTGTTAGGAGGTTAATATCGATCATTTTCCTCTGATTTATGCCTGTGAGACACATTTCCCTCATTTTAGTCTCCAGATTTAATGATTTCTAATAAATGATTCAAATCTGAGTATTTCACAGGCAGATGAACAGAAGCAGCTTTTCACTTTAGGTTAATAAATTTTTTTCTCTGTCAAAGTTCATATAGTGTTTATTTGTGCAGCATCATTCAAATATAATAACTAAAATAAAACGAAAAATAAAATAACTAATGTTTACAGGTCAAACACATTTTTCCTTTGTTTTATTTATTTATTTATTATTCTCAAATTTGTGTTTTTAGATGTTTTCATCTACCATATATCTTAATGAATTACTCATATTAATATTATACCTTTGAACTTTAGAAATGATCTGTTGCAGTTCATGTAAAATATGAAATGAAATGTGGAAAAGATAAAAACTTTTTAGTGTTTTGTAAAAACGTTATTTTTTACTTCAAAGTACAAATAAAGTTAAAATGAAATGAATCCCAATCTGTCAAATTTTGTAAGAAACCGTTTCATATTAAAATCAAGTATTTTTTAATTT